GGGTTGCATGGGCGCTGGCCGGCATGGGCCCTAGACTAGGAATCATAAAACGGCAGGAAAAATCACCAGAGCTATTTTGAGGGGTGGTTCCTGATGATATGATTTACAGTATGTAATCTATCTGTCTATCTATCTATCCATCTATCTATCTATACATGTATATACATATCTCCCAAAACCTTATTTTGATTATTAAGGCCCCTTTGTTAGGCCCGTGACTAAGCATCCCATCTCCTTTCATGAGGATTGAAAAGGATTACTTTGAGGATCCTAATTTGCCGGCTCAGAAGTCGCTGGCCGCTGGTCGTTTTAGGGTTTAGGGTTTAGGGTTTCTCAGGAAGTACTGGGGTTAAGGGCTGTAGCTTCGGGGAGCCTTAAGGTCGGATGTTGGTTGATGTTTATAACTACCTGTAGTCTCCATTGCAGTTCTTTTTTGGGGATACCTTATGAAATCCTTACTATATAATTGGTTAAGCCAAAAAAGGCATTACAGTGGAGACTATAGGTACAGCCTCGGGTTTAGGGTTAGTGGTTTGGGGCTTAAGTGGGTATCCTTGCTGCAGTGTCAGCCTTGACGCAATATGAGGAATAGACGTAGAGCCACGTCTAAAGAGTTACCAATACTATATAGAGCGCTCCTGATTTTGTTATTATCTTCCCCCATGTCCCTATTCTTTTAGCAGCCGCAGCAAGAGAACCTATCTATGTTCCTAGAATCCGCAGTACACGCAAAGGTCGCCGTTTCATACCTGAAGTGAGTGAGTGTGTGTTGACTGACCTGTGCATCGGCGTCGGCACACACACACACACACGCACGCCGACACGAAGACACCCCTGCAGATATAGGTGTTCCTGGTTTGCCGTTCGGCTGTTTCATGCTGAGACAGGGGAATGTGCTGGATGGGTTCCAAGTTGCGAGCAAGCACCTTCCATAGCGTATAGCTATATAGACGTCACAGTCAAAACGATGCAAGAAGCCTTAAGCTGAGGTTGCATTTGGCTTCGCGCTTACTTTTGCAGCCCTGCACGTGGGGCTACAGCCGCTCAGAGTAACTGGTACCTTCTGATCCTCCTTGTTCCCTAAACCGGATCCTTTCTTGGTCGCTTTTCTTGGTGCCATCCTCAACGGCTTTGAGGCGCCTAAGTACCATGAAGGGACTGTCCGTGCCACGTCCGGGACTACCTTCCTAAGCTGGCCCTCGAGCATTCGCCTCAAGCTTCAGACTGCACTGTATCCTCAACTAACCATTCATACAGCTTCTGGATAGCTTCTGGATGTTCGGAGAGTGCAGACGAAAAAGGGCTTTAATAAAACCAATTAAGAATCTTGTAGAGCCCTTGTAGTACCCCTTGATGGACCCCTCATAGTCGCCTTTAAAGCCCCAAAGAGCCCAGAAGCCGGAAACCCTGACAGTACCCTCATAGGAGGAGCCTGCTTGTTGGCTTTTCGCATATGATTAACATAGTGGCCTAAACAATGACGGATACGTACACATGTATGATATTACCACGCCGAAGAACCCTTTTTCTAAATGTCCAGGTCCTAACCTTTTTTAATCTGGAACCCCAACAATGAGCCTAGTAAGGAACCCAAAGCCCTAAGCCCTCAACCCTCTCAGGAACCCAAACTCCTACTGCTCTGAGGCCAAAGACGAAACCCAAAGATGGCCGAGCTCCGACTATGCCAGGGGGCACAAGCTGCTTGACTTGCTTTTGAGGGTTTAAGGGGTCCTTTCAAGGATACTACCAGGGTTCCTTAAAAGGGTACTATAGGGATTAGGGTAACGGCTGAGAGTTTACGGCGCCGGAGTCGGGCGGCCGTGTCTTGCCGAGGACCCATTGGACCGGTGACGAGCAGCACCTTGACTCTTTTCAGATAGGAGTTTCCGAAAATTAGGGGTACCTTATGTTGGGGTCCTGATAATCAGGATCCTACAGTTTAGGGTACTATATTGGGTTCCCCTATTTTCGGACACCCTCAGATAGCACATCTTCTTTGCACTGCTGAGATGAAGCCAGATGTAAAACCAGCCTGCGGCCTACGGTTCACATCATATCACCACTAAATTTAAATCGCCTGACGCGTTGTGCAGTCCAACCATCTCTGCTAGCTCTCAGATTTCAACAATCCAGGGGTTTGCTTCTGGAGTGTAGAGGGCGGCGGGTTGGTTTTCTCAGATTTCACGGTGGAGCCTAGACTTGTTTGTGTTGCGTTGTGAAGAGCTCAGCTGAGGATTACGAGGCCCGAATTTTTTTTCGGGGAGTTCGATAGCCTCAGGATGAGGTGGAGAGTGAAACCGTGGTTTACCTTGAACTACCAAAACCTAGGTTTTTGTAGGGTCCCTATTTTTGTTATGTGTTAGGGTTTATAATAAAGACCTACAAAACAGCAGGTGGTGGTAGTTCACGGTAGGGTTTAGGGGCTTCAGGTCATGAGGGTTGTATGAACTATAAACCCTACAAAGCCTCTCAAGATCTACTGAGAGCTTCGCTTTGAAGGATTTGTGATGATTTGTGGGGTTTCGAGGGTTCAGGGGTTCGGGTTTGATTTGTCTTTCTATTCACAAATCTTATTATACCCCTTTACAATACAACTTTATGGAGCCCTATATTATGGCTACCTTCTAGAACCCTTAACTTTATAGAGCCCTTATTGTGGCGACCTTATAGAACACTTACAGAGGACGCAAGGGCCTTGCAGAGCTTAGGGCCGTCAAGACCCAACAGGGAGGGCCAGGAGCCGAATTTCGAGAGTCCCTAAGGGTCCAAGGGCTCCTTATTGGGGGTTTAGGGTTTAGGAATTTCGAGAACTTATTGCCTTGAAGGCTTTACTGCTAGAGCAAATCCTGCCAAAGGTTGCAACGAGGAGGTTTTGAGGATTGCGCTGCTGTTCTGTTTTTTGTCGATTCTGCAGAGAGTGGAGAGAGTGGACGTTGCATCCTGAACTCGACACAAGAATCACCACAGAGAATGTGCAGAATGCGGCGACGCGATCGTGAACAGAATCATATTTCATGATACTGAGTCTGAATGAGATTAACAGTAACAATCACCATCAGAATAAGTTCATTTCCTTATCGTCCAGAAGCAGAGAAGTCTGATCAGCTGTCTGAGGTCTCTACCCAGCATGGACGGTGCAGCAGAAGTCGCTTGTAGCATCATGCAGGGGCAGATGATTGTCATGGTTTCAGCGGTGTTCCTGTTCTTTTGCAACAATCCATACTAATCTGGGAGAATCGGATTTTACGAGTGGGTTTGCGAATGTAGGCAGATGCCTCAACCTCGAGCCCGAACCTGCTAAGTTAGGCACCCCAGATCCGAGAACTTGTAAGCCCCAAACCGCAAGCAGGCGTGAAGCCTGTTGAGCCCCACTTGTTGGCATGATCCGCTATGTTTCAAGGCTTAGGTTTTGGGCCGCGAGGTGGCGATAATTTTAGGGTACCACCTCACAGTATTTAGTCAAAAGACCAGCTCAATAGATGTATGAAAGAGCTCCAGAGCCACCCTCACAACACCTATAACCACAGGAACCGACGGACAAACACTTGCAGAAAAGCAAAGGACACAAAAGCTAAACCTTAAGCCCTAACCCTGTACCATGCAATGCGGGCTGCATCTAAACCCTAAACCCTAAACCGGCATTCATGCTGTGCTAAGGAATTGCCCTTTGTTGGCTGCGGCCGGTGGAGAGATGAGCTGCTTTGCAGAGCCAGTATAGTACTACCTATAGTCTCCATTGTAGTTCCTTTTTGGGGTTACCTATATAGGATCCATAATCTGAAACTGGTTAAACCCAAAAAGGAACTACAATGGAGACTATAGGTAGTACTATAGGGCTTTGGTGCATGTCATACTATATCAATGTGTTGCGGACCTTAGCAAATCGAACAGGGGTTTGGGGGGGTATGTCATACTAGAAATGTTGTGTTGCGGCACCCTGAACAGTAGTCATTTGGGTCCCTACATTGGAGGGTTGAAGGCTTCTCAAAGCTTTGATCGGGAATCTGGGGTAGGGTTAGCCCGAACAAGACTGCGTGCTCCAGTTTGCCTCTCCAGATGCAGGTCTAGACTATCACAGGCTATTTGTCACGTGATTCTCAAAGCCCGGTCGCCGAATACAGGGGCCTTATTAATTTTCGTGGACGATGAAATCGCAAGAAATCAAGAAGAAGAATGCACAGAAGCATGAAAGAAGGAAATGACACGAGTTTCAAACTAGGCGTGTTGGCTGTGTGTCAGGTCATGAAAAATAGCCATCATGCCTGGAACAGATTGCTGCTACCGCATATGTAAGTGAACACTCCGCAGAGCTGAGGCTGGCGCATGTTGCCAATAAGAGTTACGTTAACACGGCGATTGTATCACAGGATGGTACCATGTACAGCGCATACGGTGAAGATGTTACAAGCTTCGTTGCAGGCACAGGATCAGGCGTCCTTGATCCCTTCCCACCTTTAGCAATAGCGTCGTTGCATGCAGAACGCAAAGGTGCTGCACGTCCCTGCTGAAAATGTGTTGGATTCCAAGTGCAAATCAATCGCAGAGCAGTTGGAGTGTGACCTCCCTGAGCCCATAAACGAGGACCATCCAAACACACAGTGCGCCTTGTGCAGGAGACCTTCTGAAGTTTACACACACCCACACGAACAGACACAGAACACACAACCTTACATGTCAAATTCCGCTTGCAAAAAAAATTGAATTTTGGATTTT